GTATTCCGCCACCGATTGAACTCCTTGGCGGAGTCGGATGAACTCATCTTCCTTCCTCTCCTGAACCAGAGGAGGGAAGAATTTCGCGTTAAACTCCCTCATAAAATTTACCCAAGTCCTGGGCGTTTGTTCCCGCTCCCATTTTTGCCGAATGACATTCCACCAGGAGCGGGCCGCCTCTTCCAGCTGAAAAACGGCAAAAGTCACCTGCCGTTCTTCGGTATAGTGCAGGGCGGCGAAAATATCGACCATCTTTTCGAGCCACCTTTCGGCAACATCCGGATCGGGTCCCCCAATGAACTTGGGTGGAGCAAACTTTTGAAATCGTTCAAGAGCTCTGTCTTCGCTCTCAACATGATTGCCAGGGTTTCCAGGGTTTCCTGGATTAGGATTTGGATTCTGGCCTTGTTGCTGCACCACTTGTGCCAGCAAGTTTGTCATTTGCTGCATAGCGGTAGCTATCTGTACATTGGGATCAACTCTCGGTTCAAGATGGGATCCAGAGGAGGTTTCCCCAGCACCCCGGTCTGGCGTAGGTTGCCTATTCCCGCGCCCACGCCCCCGTCCACTACGTGTGCCTTCCATACAATCTAAGTCGATTTAGGTCACAAAATAAATATACTGTTAAAGGGCACCTAACCCCTCCTTCGCAGCACTAAACAGGAACAAGTAAACAAGAACAATTAACTACTCAACTCCCTCGTCGAGCATTTAAACACATAACACATATACAGAGAACACATAACAGGATCAACATGTATACAGAACAGTCAGTTAGGTACATACAAAGTCATCCATAGAATCGCAATTTCTAGTTCGCCCAATTCTTTCTAACCTAGACTCTCATCTCTTTCGTATCCGGGCGCAAGAATCCCATTTAAGATAATTCACAACTCGAGCCGGCCGGTCCCAAACGTAAATCATCCATACTAAAGATTCCTACCCGACATACTTATCTGTCGTCCTCAAGTTCCATAATAAAGATTTTTACACTTATAACATGCCCCGTTCATAACTTACGCTCAAACGAGCACTTAGACATATCCATGAAATCAGGACCATAACACCACTTGGCCCAAACTCACTCCGCGCAGAGACCACGCGAAATGGCTCTGATACCACCTGTGACAGCCCCACCTTCCCCTAAGGTGAACCAAAGAGGTTAGCGGACTGTCTGCCCAACTCTCGCCAGGACTAACGGTGCAGTTTAGAGCGATCTATTTTGTTCCGGAACTTATAACGCGCGTAAACAAGGCAAAAGGGCAAAATAACCCAAAATAAAAAAAATGAAATTCGAAGTCGGCCATGAATAGTAACCGACCCGTCAGAACCCAACCAACTATCAAGTAACATTCACATATGGAATTTGAGCAATTACAACCCAAAGCAGCATACAAAAGTTTTCAAAAGTGAATATATACACGGTTTGCCAAATTGAAAGTGAAATCGGCCCTAAAGATACATTTAGGGTTTCCCTTCATATACAATACAAAAGAAATATACATCTAGTTCATTCGGTAACCATCTATCAAGATTCATTTCAAAATGAGTCATATTCCTGTAAGGAAAACAAAAGAACGGTATGAGCTAATTGCCCAGTGAGATACTATCACTTACGCACCCAAGTGCATATAAGCATCAAGCTTTCATTCAATTTAGTAAAATAAGCAAAGTCACACTTCAAATATGGTGATAAAAGGATACAGATGGCTCTCAAGAGCCCTTTCCTCGTTTGCATTTCTTGATCGGACGTCATTGACCCTCCGTCAATGTTCAAAAGTAACCAACCGTAGACTCCACTTTACCTCCACTCCTTCCACCTAACATCCCCCTACCGGGCCCGAACTCCAAACACTTGCACTTTGGTATTACTCGAGTATACCGGAATCGAGAGTCTCGTATACTACAAGATTCCATATAACTTTACCCAAGGTTCATTAATTGACACGACCAAACCCTCGCCGGCTCGATTCAATCAACTACCAATGGGGTTGAGCTCATTGATAACATTTGTAGTCGTTGGATACTCGCCCAATCGACACAAAGTCGAGTACTTTCATTTCATGTAACATTTCATGTAACATTACAATAACATGACAACAATGATATAAGACATATAAGTGAGAGTGATAAAGTACACTTTCACTGCAATCAAGTCACATTCAATTCACTTCAAGCAAGTTACATTCAAAGCCATATAGTAACACACAAGTGAGTAGTACACTCACCAGGGTCAGTGCAGATACCTCCCAAAAGAGAGCTTTAATCACCAATAAACCCTAAAATAATCCAAGGAAAACAATTGAAGGTTCCACTTTCAAAATTGAGTATACATAATGCACATGTGAGGCTCGACTACCAGTCGTATGCGTCGCCAAATAATTACTAAAGCAAGGTGCAAAACATGATTTTTGGAACGAAAAGGTAACATGAAGACCTAGGCTCAAACAACCCAAAAGCCCTTCGCTCAAAACACAAGTAAATCCAACTAGCCTTCAAGTAAAATTTCGACAGCATATCCCTTGTGTTTACCTATTTTCCAGCCATCATGGCTTCATTATTTTCTCAAATCAGTCCCAACATCTCGTACAAAAATAATCTCATTCCCAAAAGCCATTCACTAGGCTTAATGGCATTCAAGTAGAAAATTTAGCTAGGGAATAACCGAATATGAAAGTCAAGCCCTAAACTATTCAAATGAACACAATAAGACTCGATTACAAGTCATAAACCAATTCTATATACTACCAAAACAGGGTTCCCTAAGCATACACAAATATTAAAGGAAACCAGAAAATTCGGAAATGCAATTAACTTTGGCCCTGAAAAAACAGTTTTTGTCCTCATTTTGCGGTAATGGCACCAATTTCACTACGATTATTGGATGAGGGTGCAAAACCCACCATCTCGAAGCTAAAAGACAGGGCTACAACATCACAGAAGGTCACTCAACCCAGTTTTGAGTGCAAACAGGTCAAAAATGCAAGATACTACATCAAAAACGTAAAATAGATTCTCCAAAACGCATTCTAGCGGAAACATCATAACTCAGGCTCTACAAGTCCAAATCCAGAAATTCCAAAACCAACTGAAAGCTAAGAAACAGGGCTAAATTTCATCAGAAGGCCTCAATAACTAATTCGGAAGCAATTCCAGCCAAAACAACCAATTACAGGCGCAATTCTCCAATTCGGGTAAAACCAGAACAACAATAGTAATTTCGACTTATCTCATTCTACACTACTCCGATTGACCTGAAATTTTGTAGGCACCTATAAAATGTCATTCCCTACAACTTTCATGTTTTAAGCCAAGGCCAATTCGGCCTCTATCTAGGACCTAAAATTTCGGACAGAATGCTCCCTCAAGAACCCTAGTTTTCTGAAATTTCTTCCAAACCAGAAATTGGTTGCAATTAATCACTTTTCCCACCTCCTTAAGTCATTATAGACCATTTCCAATCATCATAGATAGGCATAGAATCATGCTTATTTTAAAGCATAAAAATTCCCAAAAATAATAAAACTTGATCATTTCAACCACAAATCAAGAATTAATCCATAAACTTGCATCTTCTACTACCACTAAGCATGATTTAAGCATCAATTAAAGGAGGAGGGTGGTTCTTCACAACTTACCTTAAAACAAGAGAGAGAGAGAGCTATTGGTCACCTTAGCTTTCCAAATAATTCCACACAACAACTTACCAACACTTCCTTAAGTGGTTTTATGGAACAAAATCAAGGTTGGATGGTTGAGTAAGTTGATTGAAGCAAGATGGAAGCCAAATTCTTGAAGAGTTTTCTTTCCTTTCCTTGCTTAAGAGATTCGGCCAAGAGGAAGAGAAGAATGAGGGATTTTTGGTGAATTTTTAAGATATTTAAGTCAATTGGTAAGACATGCAATAGTAGTCAAATTGTCCAACCAATAGCCAAGTGACACTTGTCACCTTTTATTAAATACCTACCTAACTTGTCTCTCTCATATCAATCCAAATTGCAAACTCTACTTATCTCTTAACACCCGATAAATTAACTCCAGTATCCAAAACTTAACCTAGTTGGTCGAATTTTTCCGAACTTTTCGCACTAGTGGGTCCCACGTCCAGTATACTCTCTTAATTTCTCAAAATCCATTCGATACTAGAAAAAGCATCTAAAAATTATATCTGCTCCTTAAAATTATCTAGAAATTTTTTTAATCATGAAAATGCAGAAAACAAGCCATAAAAATACGAGAAATCTAGAAAATAAAAATTACGGGTTCTCACAGTTATATAATTATTAGTATAATTTTTATCAATAAATTAGCTAATATATATGAAATGGGTGCAGACTTCCTCCCTTATAGGACGATCCGTAAATAATTAGCATATGTTATCAAAAAAAAAAAAAAAAGAGCCAATCTATTTCTCGTTGACATCATTTCATTTGTGCTTCTCTTTCGGATAATTACTCCCCCACCGGCCAAAATTTTGATGAGAGTTACAAACTACATGTCTCGGCTCTACGGTCACTTCACAGCATACTTACTGTGTTGACTGATATAAAGATAACTAATTAATTTATTATTTGAACTATGCATGATACTTTAGGCACTAAGTTAAAGCTTACTTTTAGGATTATTTTTAGAACTTCCTTCGTAAATAATGGCAGGCCATATGAAATAAAGCCGGTTATTTTTTTGGCTCTTTTTATGGTAAATCTTTTCTATTTAATTTATCAATTAGATATTTTGAAACTATATATTGGGAATTATAAATATGTTTCTCAAATTTAGGATAGAGTTGGTTGAACTTTGATTAAGGACCATTGAACCCACTTGATTAAGGATCAGTGAACCTAGAGTCCTCGGTTTTGAACCTCATACTGTTTTGATTAAGGATCATTGAACCTGGATCATTGAACATCACACGGTTTGGAAAACCCATCACACGGTTTGGACGACTATTTCTTATTGGCGATTTAAAGGAGACCCCTTGCTGTTGTTTGCTTCCTCGTTGTATCGCTCGCCCTTCTTCCTGTCTGTCAGTCCTTTTTCTCTCCGAGTGTGTGTGTGTACGCATAGTTTCCCATACAGTAGATCAAATAGATCGAGTAGCAAGAAATTGAGAATTGGGGACTGGGTCGATGCAGAAGATTAGTAGTTTTCTCCTGTACGAACAGGGTCGACAAGAACCTCCAGTACCTAATCAAGCTCCTGCTACATCTCCAAGAGACCCTGTAGAAATTAACATGGACGACTACGCGTGGACTCCCGGTGATAATCAAATGGGACAATATCGGTTTGTCGACGACGAGGAACTATTTGACAAGCCAAATTTGCTAGCTTACATGGCGGAGGCAATGATCGTGAGCCCACCAAGGATTTGGCCCGAGGTGTCTGTTGAGTCGCCGGAGATTTCTGTCGTATATAATCTTTGGGAAAATGATACACGGAAACCTCATCAGATGCGTGGATTTAGGTTGGACGGTTGTGGATTCGGCTCCTCTCAAGTCTTTGGTATAATAATTTGAACTTCTTCTGAACTTCAATTTGCTGCGTTTATGATGGATCACGAGTACATATATAACTTCCTTTGTACATATATAACCCAATATTATTTGCTGATTTTTCCTATTGCAGCACCTGCCCTGCTAAAGAAACTGGCCGAATCCCTAAAGTTGGGGCTACTTAACTTGGGGCTACCGAAGAAGGGGAACAAAACGTGTTTGACAACTCGTGCCCAGCCTTTCCATTACTACAGTCATCAAGATTTCAAGAAACCCTGTGATGTCCATGGACAGCAAAGTGGAATTGTTGGATCTCCAATTAGACCAGAGCGCACACAGGGTTTTGTTGAAAGCCCACATAGACAGGAGCTCCTGCAGAACATAGAAAACATAGCGCATGATGAAGGAAATATGGAAATCGATGTGGCAAATCCTGAAGGAGTTGGTGCTAGCATAGAACCGAGAGACAGTGAAGTGATGAACATAAAAAAGCGAAAGTCAAGTCGTACTTTAAAAAGCAAACTTGGAATTACTCGTGAGGTTCTTGAACAAAATTCTTGGAGGAGTCTTAAGGATGCTGCAAAAGTTTTTGGAGGTAATTCTCAACTGTAAGTTCTTCTCTAGTTCAGAATTGAATTCGAATTTGGTTAATGTGTGTTGATTTTCTTCTTTCTTTCTGATACTTGCAGTTAGCCGATCTACATTGAAGCGTATATGTAGGAAGTATGATATTAACAGATGGCCATCTCGTAAAGCAAGAAAGGTTAATCAAGCCTTTGCTGAACAAAGAGTTGTTCAGCCTTCTACTGAAAATACTGAAGAACAACACCGGCCAGACACAACAAGGCTAGGAGATGATAGTAGCATCTGGGTGAAAGCAGAATATCAAGGGTACACCATGAAGTTTAGACTTCCATTGTCAGCCCACAAATTCAATTTGGAGGAGAAAGTTGCAGAACGATTGAATCTACCGATTGGAAGTTTTAAAATTGAGTATCAGGATGAAGAGAATGAATGGATTTGGATAGCCTGTGATGAGGATTTAAGTACCTGTATGAGCACATTAAGCTCACTAGGTAGGACAACAATCAAAATGTTGGTCAGGTGATCGCATATTTACGAGCCTTTTGTATAATTAATCTATTTTTAAGCCTATGGTGCTCTAGTCTGCTGTAGGTTCCAAATACCTGCATTTTGAGATTCATTGACAAGATAAATATGGTAGATGAAGAAGATGCTTTTATCCCCCACACTTCAATGATCTCGGTGCGTTGTGTCCAGTCCACTATATAGAACTTCTTTTACTTTGGTTTAAAAAAAAGTGGACAATTTTGACTAAAAGTGCTTCAAATGAAAAAATGAACTGAAGTTAAATGAGGAAACCCTTTCCAAGGTGTGGCAACTAGATTATTATCATTATCACACTTGCCTCGTTTGAGTTAACATTTATTTATTTTTTACTCATCAGCCAATTAACCATTATTCTGGGATTGTAGTTGCCGCATGTTCTCGAATTACTTAAATTTCAATTTGTTTTGTATGATTAAGTACCATTAATTCCTTTTATTACATTGATATGATTGAGAAAAACTAAGTGAATGGTTTCTAGGCTAGATAAAGAGTATCGGTAGAATAAAATGTTTCCTTTTTTTCATTAAAATAAACATTTGAAATTAAAAATTTTACAGTACTTATTTTTAGGTGAGAAAAAAAAACTTCCAGCAAAAATTTCATCACCCTAAATCAAATCCTTGGCTTCGCCACTGAGGTCCATAGACACTGTTAGAGCTGGCAATTACACCCAAAACCCAACAACTCACCCAACCCACCTACTAATTTGAGAGGTTGGGTTGGGTAAGTTGGGTTTTGGGTTAATTTTAGGTTGGGTGATAAAAATCCATAAATATTTTGGACGGTTTGGATATTTGTGTTGGACACCCATTACCCAACTTAAATTGAAAAAAACAAATAAACAAGTTAATTTAGAGCGATACCCGACCTGCCCCGTTGAGAAATTATAATTTAGAGCGGTTCAGAGGATGAGTCCATTGAAACATGATATGACATAGGCTTTTTTTATTTTTTTTTATTTTTTTTACTATGTGACATAGCTTCAATTGCTTGGTTCTAAGCAAAATGTTGAGCTTCTTTATTTATTTGTTTCTACATTATTGTTTTCCATTTTGGCCAAAAGCTTGTTTTTTTTTTTTTTTGAAAAGGCCAAAAGCTTGTTTAACTTTCCAATATGCTCCGCCAATGACAAATATTTAAGATGATGAATCCACTTAAAATACAAGGCTCTGTTTCGATTGCTGAGGTTGTTCGAGTCCTGCCATGGATGAATAGGAGCTTTGATTATATTAATTAGCAGGAATTCATTAGCCAAACATTGATTTTTGTGGTTAGTAATTCCAATTCCTCAACTGGGATCATATAATTAAAAACCCGCGTTATCCGACTTGCCCCACACATATATATATTTTTACTTTTATACGCATACTATAAAATAATAATTTAGAGCTAAATAAGTAATTTCGTTGAACAAATTACATTACAAATATGAAAGACTATAGTTTTTACAAGATTCATTTATGGGTCAAAATTTCAGTTTATAACTTTCTTTAAAATGTGATTGGGCCTAAATAGTTTAAACAGTTAGTATATGTGTGTATTTGTGAAAGTATATTAGTGTGTATTTTAGTGTGTTTGTATGTGTAAAAATAATGTATTTCAAAAGAACTTAAAAAGTGAGTGTGTGCTTGCATCTGTAAGTGTTTCAGTATGTGAAAATATATTTATGTGTGTGAATTTTTATTTATTTTTTTTGTATATGAAAATATATTTGAGAGAATTTATGTATCAAAATCTATTATTTAATATATTAGGTCATATTTGGGTCATGGGTTTGAGATAACCCAATATGACCCAACCCAAGATTAACCCAATCTAAAGTTGGACGGATTGGATGTAACCCATTTAAATAAAAATCCAACATTAACTCGCACAAAACCCACCTAACCAGCCCAATTGCCAGGCATAGACACTGCTAACTTATATTTAAGATGGCTACTGGAAGTTCAAATCAGCTGATTCAGCTGATTTTCTTTTACATTTTGATTTCACTGGAAGTGCCAAACAAGTTGTTGATATACCGTCGATGTATTGCAGTATGGAATTGCTAAAATTATGGCAGGGCATATCCAAAGGTAGATAACGAGCTCTGAGCATTTATGACTAAGGCTTTAATGACTAAAATTCAAAGCCTTGGAGCGCAGCAAGGATCAGGCGAGAACAAAACAAGCTGCCCAGCAATGTTGAGACTTCTTGCTGCTGGGATTGGTGATCACGATCTTTTTGCAATAGTTGAATGATGAGAAAAATCGGGTTTTTTTAACCTTTTGGGATCAGCCTGGATTTTTTTTCTCTGTGTTAGTCATATTTGTAGTGTGTGATGTTTGGAATTTGTGATTTGAGGGAATTACTTAAAATATGTGTGTGCGCGTGCGAGCACGAGCGCGCATGTGTGTGGGCCAGCATGTGCGCATTTGTCTACTTATGTATGTCTAGGGGCACTTTTTTGTTAGGCCCAAATAATTTTTAGTTATTCAACCACTTTATGCAGGGGAATTTTTTCACCAAAATGTGAAATCTGTTCCTCAATAAATAAATAAAAAAAATAGCAAGCAATTGTTGTAGGCAACAGTTAAAAATTTTTTTTGACATATACTAAGGGACGTAACAATTTCAGAGACCAAACAAAAATAATAAATATGCCAACTTTCATAACATAATTCAAATATAAATTTCAATATTATTTATTTTTAAATAAGTCTACATTTAAAAATGCGTGTATGTGTCAAAAAAAACAATGCTAAAATTGTTGGACACATTTTCTCTCTCTTTTTTTTTACCATGCCAAGAGCCTGGGCTTCCTGGCTGAAAATTTGAAGCCTAGGAAATAATTCATCCTTACAACCCTTCATTTTACGTTTTAAGGCATCAAAACAAATGCAACCTTCTCATTGTAGCTGCCAAGTCGTAGCATGAGGAGTAGTTATGGCAAGAAGCAATTCGTTCTTATAATATAGTAGTTAAATACAAGATGAGGGGCCAATAATGATAATCTTTTCGTATTAATGTTGCATATTACTGTACTATATGACCAAAGTTAGTTGATTTTTACACACAAAATGCTGTACTTTACATATTTATCCAAGGTAATATGGTTTACAAGGTTAGCTCAATATTTACAATACAACAGTATTAATCATTTTAGAATAATAATAATAATAATAATAATAATAATAATACTAATAATAATAACAACAACAACAACAACATTTCAAATTGAGATATTTCAATTCAATGGCTAAATCAAGTTTTGAATTTATTTGGATTGGCTCGATTCTGGTCACCATCACGGGTTAGAGTTAAATCAAGTTAATTTGAAGAGGAGCAGGAAGAGATGGATTGGATGATTTGAAAGAAATGAGTGTCAATGAGAGACCTCGGATTGAACCCTCTCATTTACACTAAAAAAAAAAAATCAAGTTAATTATCAAACAAATAAAACTTTCATCAGTTCATCAACTCAAAAATTTCAGGCTTCTATTTTATAATTTTAATTGTGGGCCTTGACGCTTAATATTCATTTTCAAAGGAAGCCAACCATCTATTTGTTAAAGGCTATTCCAGACATGAGTTGTCCATAGAAAATAGAGGATTGGGTAACTGTTGGGCTGAACGGTCTGGAGAGTAGTTAAATCAGTATTTGGGTGGTCTGGTCAGGGTGCGTACAAGAGAAAGAAGGGAAAAACCTGAAAGGAGGAAAATGTGAAAATGAAAAAAAAAAAAAAAAAAAAAAAGTTCTGGACTGGTGTGTATAAGAAATGGTCTGTTCAGGGGATTGGGCCATTTTGTATTGGTGGTTGCTTCCTTGCAATTTCGCGTATTCTTTTGAGTCTGTACTTTCACGTTTCCAACCATTGACTTATAACTTTAAAGTCTGCCAAGTGTACTATTTCAAAAGTTTTAATTTAAGCCCTTTGTCAACTTAAACTCTTTGAAGATTAATACTTAATAATTTGAATCATAAAAACAGAAAAATATAAAATCTTATTAATATATTCAATAATGCCACCTTAATTCAACATAAAACATAAGGACTACTTCCGGAGAAATATTAAGCTATCATGGTTCGAATTTTGTTCGGAAGGGACAAGGGATAGTTGGAAAAGCATTTTCGTCCAAAAAGTGCTTGTTATTGTAGGGATATAAGACATTTAAGCATAACAGAGTACCCCTTGGTACCCATTACTCAAACAACTGCATTTACGTATTGGAGTTCCTTTTACCTAAGAAGAAAAAATACTCTGGGACGGATAGGGTATTATTTGAAATAGTATTTGGAATAATTACTGTAACATTTTTTGTGATGTGATGTATGTGAGATAAAAAAGTGGTTGGGAATATAAAGAGGTGAGTTGAAAAATGTGTTTATGATGCAAGCGAAATATTATTTGAGATAATAGTGCTATCCAAACACTCATATTGTTGCCCATGCTAATGAAAACGTTGAAGACATTCCGCCGCAGATGTATAGCATTATGGAATTGATCAAATTAGTTTTGAAAGATACAGTAATGAGATTTGAAATATGCAAATGGATTTTGGACAAACGAAACAAAGTGATGAACTGTGATTTGGTGCCAGATCTGGGCTTTACCCGAGACTGATCCATGGTTAGATCATGTCCAGAGAGGTCCAAGTTTTTCCAGTTATACATTCAGATTTGGATTTGGTCTGGATCCTAATTAATCTCTTTCACTTATATAAATCCTAATTAGTGTACAATTTCACGACCCTTTCTGCTCTTGCTTTTGATTTGCTACCACGCTGTTTCGCTTGCAAAATTCTTGGCTTCAGTCCTATTTCTCTAGTCATCCATTGACTAAAAAATACGTACAGATAACCAACCCATTTAGAACCTTGTTTGGCCTTTTGAACAATTGGGACCACTTCATATTGGTTACACATGTACCATCTTGGTTCTAGCTTTTGCCTTTTGCTTGCTTCCATGTTATTTCGCTTTTTTTTTATTCTTCTAGCCGGTCCTTTTCTCAAAACCTATAAATTGCTCTCTAAAGCCAAGTTTATGTGCAAAAGCAAAAAGATAAAAATGCCCTCATTATAAGGATAGTGTCTAATAATTTTTTTTTTTATTATTGTTCTTTCTTCTTCTTCTCCTTTTTCCTTATTATTTTTACATCTTTTTTCCTCGTCTTCTAATCCTAATTCTGTGTATCAACTTCAATAATAATAGTGTGTTCAAAAATTTCCTTTTGTGGTCAAATAACTTTCTTGCTAAAAATATTTGGTCATCATCATTTATCACAAGATAACAAATAGGATATATAGTAACAATTTCAAGTATTTTCTATTGATGGTGATCAATTCTTATGCTTCAATTTTTATTAAAAAAAATAGAAATTACAATTTGAATTCTCACGATGTTTTAGGATAACAAAATTTTTTTTTTTTATAAGAAGATGCCGCAACTTCCTAGTAACGTATGGGCCCTGATGAGCATCAACTTTGTTCCTCGATCTGTACAGCATCTGATGGGCCCTGATGAGCATCAACTTTGTTCCTCGATCTGTACAGCATCTGATGTGGTGTCCTGTTTAGGTGAGGGTGCAAGAGATGAATCTCTACCCATAGACGACAGCTAACAATTGAACTGTTTGAACCCTCATCCATTGACTTTGAAGTCTTCAAGTGTGTATGTATATGCACGGTTTCCATACAGAAGATAAATAAAACAGAAACTGAGAAACGTCGGGCAGGATCGATCCAGAAGATATAGCAGTTTTCTCCTGTCCAAAACTACAACTGGCAATAATGGAAGCTCGAACTTCTCCCTCCCTTCCTTTTTCTACGGAAGGTTTGGGGTCTTGTGAACTATCATGCTTCCGTTTAATTAAAGAAGAAGATTATAATGAGTACAACTGGGTATTCTGGAGCACATGCGGCAATGACGAAGGAGGCTGCGGGAAGCCTCATCATCTCTCAGCCAGTGAGTATGGAGTTCTTTCAATAATCTCTCATAGTGTAATATGTATGTGGACATTTTTGTTGGACTAATTATCCTATGAGAGATTATTGAATTTGTTGGACTATTGTGGTAACTAATTATATGGATGTTAGAAAGATACAAAGGCTTGGGGCATCCAATTGGAGGGCGGCGGCGCTTAAAGCTCTTAAATTAATCTTTGGGAAAATTATACGTCATCAGATGTGTAGATTGAGGTTGGAAGGCTCTCTCAAAGTATAATTTGGAATTTTTCTAAAGTGCGAATTGCTCAAAGTTTATGATGGATCATCATGAGTACATACACACATAACTTCCTTTCTTTGACTTGTTTTGTGTCGGTGTCGTCTAGTAGAGTGCTCTGCAATAAGTAAATAATAAATGATACAAACAGTTCATATATAGTAGCAAGCACCCTTTAATATTTTTTATTACTCATTTTCCTATTTGCAGCTGCTGACGGTGCCGTGATTAAGGACCAGATCAAATGGTTTCTACAACTTGTTATGGAAGCTATATCGTGGTGTCGGTGTCTAGTTCAGTTTTGGGGTTTAGTGAAGACTGGGGACAAAACGTATTTGACAACTTGTGACCAGCCTTTTGCTCTCCAATACTTCCACTTCAATGGTCCAGACGTCAAGGAACTATGTGAATATAGGAAGCACTGTTTGGAGTACTTAATACCCGTCGATGAAGATCATGAGATTGGTCCCCCTGGTCGGGTGTTCCGCAGTGGGTCGCCTGAATATGCACCTCGTGTGGATGATTACACTAGTAGAGAGTATCCTCAACGTGATTATGCGGTCGGCCGTGTTGCGGGATCCTGGGTGTTGCCAATCTATCATCATCCTACTCAGCACCTCCCCATTGGTGTACTCGAAATTGTATCAGCAACTGATTTTAGCATACCTCGATGTCTGGTTCTGGATAAGCTTCAGGTTCGACTTTTCTCTTTTCAAGTTGCTTAATTACTTCTTTCCTATAGCTGACAAGGACCTGGGGTGGTGTTGTTTATCATTTATGAGTTATATAATTATTAGTATAATTTTTATCAATAAATTAGATAATATATATGAAATGGGTGCAGACTCCCTCCCTTCTTTATATAAAAAAACAGAGGAGACGTAAATAATTAGCATCTGTTATCCCAAAAAAAAAAAAGAAGAGCCAATCTAATTCTAGTTGACATCATTTCATTTGTGTTTCTCTTTCGGATAATTAATATATGTCTCGGCTTTACGGTCACTTCAGAGCATACTTACTGTGATGACTGATATAAAGATAACTAATTAATTTATTATTTGAACTATGTTAATTTATAACATAACCAACCATTGTCTCCTTGTGTGTTATATGGTGCAAGATTTGTGGTAGCATGGCACTTAATAAGAATTTTGTGATAAATCTAACTAACTTGAATGGGGGGATGCTTGGCATGAATTTTGTGTATCTCTATGTCCTCTGCAAATTTGGGGATAAGAAATTTGGGGTTTCCAGAGGTCATGGGTTTCCAATTGTTAGGTGGTAGTAGGAGAGATGCTTTTATAAATTAATCTAACGAGAGGTCCCTTTTCAATGTGTCAATAACCAATTTTTTAACTGCTTATAACTGCAAAAACTATGGTGACTATCACCTTCATATTAATCTTCTCTTTTCAAGTTATTTTTTAACCAAAAGATGTTGATTCTAAAAAAATCTATGGCGTTTGAAGGAGGTTTTGGCTTTTCAAAACTTCTATACCAAAATTAGTTGACTAAGCATTCAAAGAGCTTATCCTTTTTTTTTTTTTTTTTTTTTTGTGTGTGGGTGCAAATCCGTTGTTGTCAAACGGTCTTTAAAAGCCAAAGCAAACACTTTGAAACTTGTAAATAATACTTTAATTTATTTACGGCGCATATATAATGTGTTTGCCAAAATCTACTACAGAAGGTGAATCTGAGGACTACTTGTGTAAGACTCGCAGAAGCAAGTTCATGTGAGTATTTTTTTTTTCTCCTTTTATACTGCATAATCTTGGCTGAAGCTTTAGGCTATTCATTCCATGCTAATATTTTTAAGCCATTCCTCTACAGGTCAACGTGGAGAAATTGCTACAATTGACGAAGCATTGGGCAAGATGAGGAAAATATGTGGAGTGGCTTATGGTTGTGCTAAAACTTGGACTACTTCTGGAGAAATACTAAGTTCTCATGGTGACGTAGATTTTATTCGGAAGGGACAAGGAGTAGTTGGGAGAGCATTCTCATCCAAAAGTGCATGCTTTTGTAGGGATATAAGACAATTAAGCATAACAGACTACCCGTTGCTACTCAAGGCACGATACTTGAAGAGATCTGCCTGTTTTGCAGTTTGTTTGCAGAGCTTTTGCTCGAACAATTGCATTTATGTACTGGAGTTCTTTCTACCTATGTATGAAAAAGATGAAGATGAAGATGAAGCAGACTATGGGGATCCTAGGACATTGTTGAACAGCCTAATGGAGACATTGAACGAATGCCTCGGAAGTTCTTTTAAGATTGCTTCGGGACAAGAATTGGGGCAGAAATTGACTGTTGAGGTAATAAAAGTCTCTCCAGAGGATGAATTTGATTCTTTTGAAATCTACAGTACTACTGGTATCGGAGGAGAAGGAATGACAAAACTACAAATGGCTCTTTTTTCTGCGGAAGGTTTGGGGCCTTGTGAACTATCAATGTCCCATTCATTAGACGATATTGATGAGCACTACTGGGTTTTCTGGAGCACATGCGGCAATGACGAAGGAGGCTGCGGGAAGCCTCATCATCTCTCAGCCAGTAAGTATCTATGGAGTTCTTTCAATATAATCTCTCATATATATATATAATATGTATGTATGTATGTTTGTGGATATTTTTGTTGGACTCTATTTATCGCAATTAAATTTGTCATAGCTATATATAGTCTGACTCTGATAAAACTCCTGTGAAATAAATTTCCATGAACAATTTAGAACAGAAAAAAAATTCAAGGAAAAAAAATTAGTTTGATGAGAAATTAAACGGTTAGAAAGATACGAAGGCTTGGGCCATCCAATTGGAAGGTACAAAGGGGGCGGCGGCGCTTAGAGCTCTTCATATAGGCTTAGGTTGGATACATCATCAGATTTGAAGATTGAGGTTGGAAGGCTCTGTCAAAGTATAATTTGGAATTTTTCTAAACTGCAATTTGCTCAAAAGTTTATGATGGATCATCATGAGTACATACAATAAATTTGACTTTTTTTTTTGGGGGTCTCGGTCAAAGCACGGGTCAATCAGTAGAGTACTCTGCAATTAATGAATAAATAAATTATACAAACAGTTCATATATACTAGCAGGCACCCTTTAATATTTTTTATTACTGATTTTCCTATTGCAGCTGCTGACGGTGCCGTGATTAAGGACCAGATCAAATGTTTTCTACAACTTCTTGAGGAAACATTAATACAGTGTGATTGTCTAGTTCAGTTTTGGGGTTTAGTGAAGATGGGCGACAAAACGTATTTGACAACTTGTGACCAGCCTTTTGCTCTCCAGTACCGCCACATCCGAGACGCCAAGAAACTATGTAAATATAGGAAGCACTGTTTGGGGTACTTATTACCCGTCGACGAAGAAGATGATGATGATAAGATTGGTCCCCCTGGTCGGGTGTTCCGCAGTGGGTCGCCTGAATATACACCTTGTGTGGATTATTACACTAGTAGAGAGTATCCTCAATGTGATTATGCGGTCGGCCCTGTTGCGGCATACTGGGTGTTGCCAATCTATCATCATCCTACTCGGCACCTCCCCATTGGTGTACTGGAAATTGTCTCGCCACGTGCTTTTACCGGAATACCTCGACGGTGGGTTCTGGAGAAGCTTCAGGTTCGACTTTTCTGTTTTGAAGTTGCTTAATTACTTCTTTCCTATTGCTGACAAGGACCTGGGGGTGGTGTTGTTTATCATTTATGAGTTATATAATTATTAGTATAATTTTTATCAATAAATTAGGTAATATAGTATATGAAATGGGTGCAGAGGAGCTTAGAGGACGAATCCCAGATCGTAAATAATTAGCATCTGTTATCAAAAAAAAAAAAGAGCCAATCTGATTCTCGCTGACATCATTTCATTTGTGTTTCTCTTTCGGATAATTACTCCCCCACCGACCAGAATTTTGATGAGAGTTACAAACTACATGTCTCGGCTTTACGGTCACTTCACAGCAGACTTACTGTGATGACTGATATAAAGATAACTAATTAATTTATTATTTGAACTAGGTAATTTATAACATAACCAACCATTGTCTCCTTGTGTGTTATATAGTGCAAGATTTATGGTAGCATCGCACTTAATAAGAATTTCGTGATAAATCTTGGCATGAATTTTGTATGTCTCCATGTCCTTTACAAATTTGGGAATAAATTGTGGTTTCCAATTGTTAGGTGGCGATAGGAGGGGTGCTTTTATAAATTAATCTAATGGAAGGTCTCTTTTGCGATATATCAACAACTAATTTTCCAATTGCTTATAACTGTGAAAACGAAATATCAATGTTCCCTTTTTAAGTTATTTTTAAGCGAAACAAGTTGATTCTTAAAAAATCTATGACATTTGAAGGAGGTTTTGGCTTTTCGAAACTTCTATACCAAAATTAGTTGACTGAGCATACAAAGAGCTTATCTTATTGTTTTAATTTTCTTTTTTAGGTGCAAATCCGTTGTTGTTAAACAACTTTTAAAGCTCAAAACAAACACTTTGAAACTTGTAAATAACGCTTTAATTTATTTATGGCTCATGGATAATGTGTTTGCTAGAATCTACTATGGGAGATGAATCTGACAACTGTTGGTGTAAACCTAGCACAAGTAAATTCATGTGAGTACCTCTTAAGTATTTTTTTTCCTCCTTTTATACTGCAATATCTTGGCTGAAGCTTTAGGCTATTCATTCCATGCCAATACTTTTAAACCATTCATCTACAGGTCAAGATGGAGAAATTGCTAAAATTGATGAAGCATTGAGTGAGGTGACTGCAATATGTGGACTGGATGATACTGAAACTTGGATTACTTCTGGGGAAATACTAAGTTCTCTTGGTAGCGTAGATTTTATTCATAATACACAAGGGGTAGTCGGGAGAGCATTCTCATCCAAAAGTGCATGCTTTTGTAGGGATGTAAGACAATTAAGCATAACAAAGTACCCGTTGGTAGTCCAAGCACGATACCACAACTACTCTGCCTGTTTTGCAGTTTGTTTGCAGAGCTCTTGTTCGAGCAATTGCATTTACGTACTGGAGTTCTTTCTACCTACGTATGAAGAAGATGAAGCAGACTATGGGAAAGATGAAGATGAAGCAGACTATGGGGAAGATGAAGATGAAGCAGACTATGGGGAAGATGAAGCAGACTATGGGGATCCTAGGACATTGCTGAACAGCCTAATGGAGACATTGAAAGAACACCTCGGAAGTTCTTTTAAGATTGCTTCGGGACAAGAATTGGGGCAGAAATTGACTGTTGATGTTATAAAGGTCTCTCCAGAGGATAAATTTGATTCTTTTGAATTCTGCAATACTACTGGTATCGAATCTAAACCTAGGCTTGAAGAAGTACAAGGAGGAGACGGAATGATGCAACTTGATTTCTCATCTCAACAAGTTGATGCTGCAAATGGTTCTATGGATGGTATCCATAACCAGCAGAATAGAAGTGTTGGATCTACAAGGAGGAGACAGAATGGAAGTGTTGGATCTCCAGAGGATGAATTTGATTCTTTTGAAATCTGCAGTACTGCTGGTATCGAATCTCAACCTAGGCTTGAAGAAGTACAAGGAGGAGACGGAATGATGCAACTTGATTTCTCATCTCAACAAGTTGATGCTGCAAATGGTTCTATGGATGGTATCCATAACCAGCAGCATGGAAGTATTGGATCTACACCTAGGAATGCAAAAGCACAAGGAGAAGGAATGGTGCAAGTTGATAATGCAAATGGTCATATAAATGGTGTCCATGCACAGCAGAGTGGGATTGTTGGATCTCCACCTAGACCAGAGCACGTGCAGGGCATTGTCAACATATCAGATCAAGAATTAAATCTTGCAGGAGTTGATGTTGTGCACAATTCTACGGATGGTGTTTATGAACAGAAAAATGGAATTGATAGATCTTCAACTGGACAGGAGGTCGTGCAAAACATGGTCAGCATAGCACATGATGAACCAATTGTGGAAGATCCTCGAAGAAATGGTGCTAGTATAGAACAGAGGGACAATGAAGTGACTAATTTAGAAGTGCAAAAGCCTAGTTGGACTTTAAAAAGCGACCTTGGAATTACTCGTGAGGTTCTTGAACAAAATTCTACAAGGAGACTTGAAGATGCTGCAAAAAATATTGGAGGTAATCCTTAACTATAGCACTTCTCTAGGTCAGAATTGAATTCAAATGTTGGTGAATGCATTTTTCCTTAACTGAAGTTTTCCTTTTTGAAATCTGCAGTTAGTCGATCTACATTGAAGCGTATATGTAGGGAGTACGGTATTAACAGATGGCCACCTCGTAAAGCAAGAAAGGTTAGTCAAGCACTTGCTGTACAGAAAACTGTTCAACCTTCTACGGAAGATACTCATGAACACCACCGGTCAGATGCAACGAGGCTAGAAGATGATAATGGCATGTGGGTGAAGGCAGAATATCAAGGGCGCATGATAAAGTTCAGACTTCCATTTTCTGCCCGTAAAATCGATTTGGAGGAAAACGTTGTACAGCGACTGAATCTAGCCACGGGAAGTTTTATAATTGAGTATCAGGATGAAGATGATGATCGGATATGGATAACCTGTGATAGAGATCTGAGTACCTGTATGAGCACATTGAGCTCACTAGGTAGGACTACAATCAAAATGTATATTGTTGAGGACAGTCCAAATAGGTGAGATCAATAGATTTTTAAGAATTATATTATATACTAAAAAGTCTAGCAGGAGAGGAATGGAGAGTTAGGAGCTCGGAAGGGACCAATATTGATATCAATATTATACTTTTTTTTTGTATTTTTCTACCAAAAAAATCCAGAAAAATGCAATCCAAACTTCCACTTCCAATTTTATTATAGGCCTCAAGGCTTAGTGGCAACTGGCAAGTTTTGGGCTTCATGGTCAAAGGCTGGGGCTTGTTGGTGGTCAGGTGTCTAATATGGGGGGAAAAAATTGGAAAGCCATTAGCAAACGATTAAGGAAACAAAATTCTTGTCATCGGATTGTAGTTCTTTATGCACCAACAACCCCCCCCCCCCCCCCCCCCCCCCCCCCCCCCCCCCAAAAAAAAAAAAGGAAGAAGGAGGTTGACGCATCCAAAAAAACATACGTTCAAATTGTGAACTTTTACATTCAAGTTTTCAGAACCCTTTTTTCCTTTTTAGTTTATCTAAAAGGAGCCCAATTCCGGTAGTTAAGATTGCCTCCAAATATGAAGATTTTGGAAAAGCTGAAGACAAATGTAAGCATTTATAATGTTAATCAGATTTGCCATTACCTGAGTTGGCAGAAAATGCCATTACCTAAGTACTAATTATCTTATTAAATGGCTACTATCAAGGTAAGGTTATATGAGACAATAACCTGTAGGTGGCAGAAAGGGGGAACAAGAATAACAGAATACTAGCAGACTACAAACAAGTTATCTATTAATTATCTCCGCAGCCTTATATTCATTTTCATTCTTTTCACAAGTTGTAGAGGGCCATGCTTATATGCCGTTGACAATGATGGGTACAAAGCAGATGCAGAATTCCTAGTCTAGAAGAATGAAAGGTCTATGCACGTTTTTGTCCTTTTGTATATTCAGCAGTTGCTAATGGAAGACCAAAAATTGTGCATGGAGCAAAGAAAGGAAAAAGTGTAATTAATTAAAGCATCTGTTACGTATTCTTGTCTCAAGGGAAATTTTTTTAAAAAAACACAAATGGAATTTTATCAAGAAATTGGTTGTTTTGGGTCCCAAAGCCCCAAAACTCATGGTTATGACTTATGACTGGTTGTTGTGTATGGATCCAGATTTAGATGCCTTCAATTCGGAGATTTTTTTTCCCCATTCATTGATCATTGGTTAGCAATCACTAGTCACTTTTTCACATACCTGCTCAATTACAAGAACGAAAAGGACAATACATTCTTTTATGCGTACATGTTCTAGGAGCTATGCTAACTATATTTGTGAGGTAGAACGTTAAGAATTCAAATCTTACCTTCCATCAAAAAGTTGTCACGTGGTTTCTCTAAAATTCATATGAGTGCTTAATGCACCCGTATGATTCGATGATGGTTCAATTCCCGTCGATTCCGCATGACCCTAGTATATGTTTGATTAGGATTAGGAGTAGAAATAGATGTAGATGGTAACAATAGACCAAAAAAGAAAAATGTTAATGGCACAAATGGATCGAATTGATGTAATTTAGACCTTTTGTTTTTTGCTTGAGGATTTTACCTTATTAACCCATGCTGGACCAAAATAACATGGTTTGATCTATACGGAATCTTGTGAAGAAGGCAAATATTAATACTGTGATTTACCATGCAGGACCATTTTTAGTGATTCCTTTGTAACTATTTTTATCATGTATTGGTTTATTTTCCCTTCAAAAATGAAGCAAAATGATGGCCTTTCTTTTTCCAGGGAAACCATAAATAAATGTAAATCTAGTGCCATTTATTCACCCGAAAATACGGGCTTTTAGTTTTAAAGTAAAATTGCCAATAAAATTTCTTCTTTTTTCTTTTTTTTTTTACGTTTTTTTTGTTAAATCTGAATTTATTTTTTTTTTCAACAAACGAATTTAGTTATAAGTGGCAATTTAGTTATAAGTGTCAATTTTAGCAAACTTTGTCTCTACTCCCTACTTCAATTATAATTGAGCCCATCATGGTTGAACTTTCATATTTGTTTCTTTCAATTTATGTGGCTTTCCTAATCACATTAATATTGAATAATATTAGGAACATTATAAGTATCAAAATTACAACTTTTAGTTCAATTGACCAGCATGTTAAGAATTGTTTCCGGTCAAATCATCGTCATGCCAAATGCAAAAAGCAAAACTCTTCGCCAATTAGGTCCCGAATTAATTATCCTTTGGGTGACTGATGGGGATTGATGGAAATACAGGAGCCCACTTGCATTATGAAAAAGTTTTATTTATCTCGCCTTTTCTCTTTTTTGGTCAAGATAACAGCCTGGAAGAGCTCTCTTTTTTTTTTTTTATAATTACTATCAGTTTTCAATATTTATTTCTCTATTGCTTGTTTATTTTTATTACTCCATCATCTCTTTAATTCTTCTGCAGGCTTTTACCCACTTTTAAGTTTGACACACGCCTAAAAAAAAAATTTGAACACAAAACTTTGCCTCGGTTAACGATAGGAATTTACTAGAGTTTTTTTTTTTTTTTTACCAAATCAGTTGGAAATTTCTAGAAATATTGGATTTATTGGAACTCAGGAAAACTTAATACAAATTGGTAATTATCTTGTAATATTAAGATTTCACCTCTTAAAAATGTATTCCTTATAACCAATCGTCAATATCATCTTTTTTGGATGTTATACAAAAAGAATCACTCTTTGAAAATTAACGCAAAAATATAAACTTCAATGTGCCATTATATATATATATATATATATATATATATATATATATATATATATATATATCTTCCACCTCATAAATTGGGTATTTTTTTTAGCTACAAAAATGCCTATCCAATGATCATTTGGTTTGGTTCTTAGCTCAAATAAGAAAATAAAAAGCGAGAAATCTGAGGGACTAAACGAATTGTTTTGCCTTATTAAAACCGTGTTTCTTGTCTTAATGTCCAACCAAATGAAATGGGAGACATAGTACCTATATGTGTGTGTATGCATGATAATTAATTAAAATTTAAATTTGAAATTCAAATTCAAATTCAAATTTTATACTTCTCTCCTGCATCTAAATTTGCTAGTTTATGCCAGTACCACTGTCTACTCCACCTTAGAAAAATGTGACATGATATGTATTCTAAATGCGTTGATCTTTGATAGAATTAGTGAAAAATCTTGGTGGAAATGCAGGTCTTCTATGTAAATCCCAACATTGGGTATTGCCATTCACTCTTTCCAGTTGCAGTCTATAAGGTTATGGCAAGTTAAAGATTTTTGGGAATGTTAGGGAGTAATTTAAAGAAAAATATTCCTCATGTGTATAAGTATATATAAAAATTAGAAAGTTGTTTTTCTATTGAGCTAAAACATTAATTTGCCTTTTTTTTTTTTGTAAATTGAATTGTCAAGTGTGAGGACTCGCAAATTCCTTGTATTTTTCCTCAAAAATATCCTTTTATTTGAAAATTAGTATTTATCAAAGGCCACTACCCAAATATTTCACATTAAGTGTAGATAAACCTAGAAAATAGGGTTTTACGCTTCGGTTTCAAGTTTGGAGCGAAATTAGGGTTTCGCGATTTTTCCGCCGGATGAATTTTCGGTACTGGCCAAGAATCAATTTGATGATTAAAAGTGACTTTTAAGTGAGAAATAATATGTGACTAGTAGCAATGATATAAGGTTAGTGAATGGGAAGTAAAAACCCTAGTACGTGAGTTTTAAGAAAAACGGCGCGAACCGACGGGTCCCGCGCACTACCGTTTGAACGCACCACTTGACCACCATTTTTGCTTACCAAACAAATTTATTGAACTTGAGCAAAATATCTTCTCTCTTGGCAGCAAGCTTGACCGAAATTGTGGTTCATATGCAAGGGGAAAGAAAGAGAAAATTTTGTGGCCAAGATTAGTCCAAGTGTTTGCCAATTTGTGGACACCATTAGTCCTAATCCTCTTGCTTTATTATAAGACAACTAAGCTCCATTTCTCTTCATATTTCTGCCAAGGAGCCGAGAGAGAGAGAGGGGAAGAACAAGAGAGAAATTTCTTCATTTCTTCTTGACTCAAGCTACCAAGTGAGAAATCAAAAGAACTAAACCGATTAAACTTGTTCTTGAGTGACTAGTTAGTGAGTTGTGGTGAGGTTTTTGAAGGAGAAAGCTTGGGCTGCTCTTAGTGACCTCTAGCCAAGGTAAGAGAGCTTATCTCTCCAAGTTTTACTTTCAATCTTGTTAAATTAAGCTTAGCAACTTGATTTAGTGGTGGAATCATGGATGATTATCATGTTTTAGTAGCTTTCCCCTTTTTATTTCATGAACTAGGGTTTGGGGAAATTCTGCCCAATTTGTTGTATGATGTTTATATGTTGCAATTGAAGTGTTATAAGGTGTTGTGGTAGGGATTAGACCAAGAAATTAAGGAAAGTTGCACTAGAAACTCAAAATTCCAGAATCTGGAAAATTTCCCCAACTTTCTGTCCGAATTTATATCTGTATGTTAGATGTCGAATTGGCCTTAGGTCAAAGAAGGAAAGTTGTAGAGAATGGTTTTTTATAGGTGCCTATAAAATTTCAGCTCAATCGGAGCAACGTAGTTCGTGAAAAGTCCAAAATACCCTTACTATTTTAAGTTTTTTCCCAGCAGCCCGTGTGATCCGTTTGTCCAGTTTATCACGTTTTTTGACTAGGATCCATTCTGATTAGCATTTTGCCAAAACATAAAAGTTGTAGCATTCTGAATTAGCTTTCAAAAACCTCTAAGAACACCTGATTCGGACTTGTGTACTCTGATTTATGTCCATTACAGTGTTCTACGTTTAAACAGCCGACGAATTGGTTTCTGGTTTAGTAATTCGAGAATTTGACCAAGTTACATTAGAAACTGGACTAAGTGACCTTCATGAACATTGTATCCCTGAGTCTTAGCTTCGAAATGGCGTAGGTTTCGTCTCAATCCAATAAGCGTAGCTTCGGATATGTTATTACCGCATTCATACGTCAAATTTGTCTTGTGCTAAGTTGAATTTCTGCACTTGTGATTGTTGTAATTCTTATTCTTATGATATTGTGAGCCTATGGAACGGCTCTTGACTTGAATTGCTTATGTGTGATGTTGGGTTGTGGTTGAGGAAAAATAATGAAGCCAAAATGGCTGAAAAAT